CTTTTTCCAAAAGAGGTAGTAATCTCACTATTAGGGATGTAACTATATTTGTACCAGTTTAATCACATCTATCACAAACAATCAACCGATAATAAACAGAGAACTTTGCAGGATGTTAGTTTTAAGCACTAACATGAGCTCTGTGTGCCACTGGGGATTTAAACAGAATAGACAAAGTGGGAAGAGAATGATGCATATTCTGAAGATGGCCAGATCATGAGGGAATAAGAAACATCTTACCTAAGCTGTCTATAAAAATCACCAGCCTTTGTGTTTCACCTTCTACCAGCTGCAGCTGTCTACACACTTTGCCATTGTGGTTTTGCTCTGGGCAGTTGCCATCTATCAAGGCAAGTCATAAAACAACCCAACCCGCTTGTGTGATAGGATGGTTTCATAGGTTCTTTTTCATGATGAAGCTTTTGCTGTGTGTTCATTTGGATAGAACATAGCTTCCATTTTGTCTGTTTTTTTTTTTTTTTTTTTGCTATAATTATCTATCAGCATGTCATCATTATGAATCATGCTCACAGCCCAGAAAGCCAACCATATCCTGGGCTGCATCAAAAGGAGCATGACCAGCAGGTCAAAGGAGGTGATCCTGCCCCTCTACTCTGCTCTTGTGAGACCTCACCTGGAGTATTGTGTGCAGTTCTGGTGTCCTCAACATAAAAAGGACATGGAACTGTTGGAACTAGTGCAGAGGAGGTCCACGAGGATGATCAGGGGACTGGAGCACCTCCTGTATGAAGATAGGCTGAGAAAGTTGGGGCTGTTCAGCCTGGAGAAGAGAAGGCTGCGTGGAGACCTCATAGCAGCCGTCTGGCATCTGAAGGGGGCCTATAGGGATGCTGGGGATGGACTCTTCTTTCAGGACTGTAGTGACAGGAAAGGGGTAATGGGTTCAAACTTAAACAGGGGAAGTTTAGATTGGATATAAGGAAGAAGTTCTTTATTGTAAGGGTGGTGAGGCACTGGAATGGGTTGCCCAGGGAATGCTCCATCCCTGGCAGTGTTCAAGACCAGGCTGGATGAAGCCTTGGGTGGCATGGTATAAGGTGAGGTGTCCCTGCCCATGGCAGGGGGGTTGGAACTGGATGATCTTAAGGTCCTTTCCAACCCTAACGCTTCTATGATTCTATGATTATTCATCATAGTGAATTATGAATATTATCCAGTGTGTGGTAAAAAAAATGTGTTTAAATAAATGCAGATAATACAACATGATATTTTGTCAAAGACTGAGATGTTTGTCAAAGACCTGACTGGTTAACTAGCAGCTATCTTTTGATCATGACATCTGTCAGAACTAGTAAAATGTGAGTCAGTTTGATCTCTGTACCAGTTTAAAACTGGAAATCTGTATCAAGACCACAGTGATATGTTTGTTGAGCAGCTACTTTTATATTTTGTGTTTCAAAAAGTAGTTTCCTAACACAATGGTATATACTAGTGATGCACAGTGTGGTAGTGTCTCTAGTGACATGCTGTCATATGTATACTCAGAGGATAACCACTATTAAGTGTTTAGTGACTGATTTGTGCCCTGCGTTGCTTTTGTAGATTAAGTTCACCTTAACACACTGTACCTCAGAAAGAAAACTTCAGCTTAAATGCTGAATCATGTCCTCAGGTTTTAATGCCTTTGCCCATCAGTCCCTGGCCTGACCCTCCAGCATGTATGAAGTACAACCTGGCATAAGCTCATGTGTGGATCCCTGTAAAGAACAGAGATCAAGCTGTCTTCTTGACTTCTTATTGCAAGTTCATAGCAAACACGCCTGATTATGAATGCAGGGCTGAGGCTGCCAGGGCATCAACTGAAAGTATAAGGGGAAGCTTTCAGGGAGGGCAGAGGCTTAGGCAGCTTGAGGATGTGAGCCTCCACAGAGCAGCTGGCAAGCAGAGTGGCCAGTGAGACAACTTGTGTTAGTGATTGAGAGTAAATATAAACAACAGGAGTAAGGGATAGAAGGTGTTAACTGAAGAGAGAGCAGAGGAGAATATTTTATTTCTGACAGCTAGTCAGTGTTTACAAAATAAAAAGCAAATGGCAGAGTGAACAGTTCTTCTGTAAGGCTTTGTTTCCTACTAGAATAGGGTTTGGGTTACTTTAAAGGCACCTGTTGCATGTGAAGTAAAAACACAGAGAAGACAAGACATATTGGTCTTAAGCCACCACAATTTCCCTGGAGCTTACCTTGCTGAAAAGCTCACCTTTTCTGTGTTTGTACTTCAGCACAATCCATACATATTATTTTTCCTCAAGTAAAAAACTGCATCCTTTTGACTGTGAAGACAAGAAATCTGAAAGAACAGGTTTGAGAGCTATTAGGTGACTGCCTCAGGAGTAACAGACAGACAACCTGGCTGACCATCAAATATTTGGTAGCTGTGTAGCTTCTGCCTGATTTTATGCATAAAAAGACTCCTCTGCTCCTTATCTTTCTTTAGAAAAAGTGGAACCTGAAGACATGCTAGCCAAGAGAAAAAATTATCTGCAATGACTAGGTGGATGATGCCTCCTGTCAAGCTGTTCACTGATGACTCCTGCACTGGTATGAAGTCCCTTGCTTCCTAAAAAAGACAACTAAATTTCACCTGCATGCAAGTAATGGGAGGAAGAACCTGGACCTGTTTTAGTATAAGAAAAGGAAGCATTAATTAGCATTAACTGAAGTCTAACCCTTAACCACAGAGAGAGATTTGTTTCTTTATGACGATTTCCAACCCCGGTTTTGCTGCAATGATTTATCTGAGAACAGCAAAGTTGTCCTCAATTCCTACGCTTTGCAAACTGAATAGAACTCATCTGAAGCATGATTCAAAGTTACAGATGATTAAGATAGTGAGAGCACACAATAACTTGACAGATACCTGGTATAAAGAAAAATAATTATAAATCAGAATGACTGTATCCTGTTGTAAACAGCTTTACATGAAAAGCAGATCAGAGGCTTTCGGTTTAGCACACTGGGGTGGCATTGCTCAGTTTCCAGTCTGCATTGCAACTGGACTATGAGAACATAAATGTCAATGGAGCACTCTGGACTGAAGCATATTTAATATGCCACATATTCAAGGAGTTAAGGGTATTTTTCCTCCCATTATTCTCTGCTACAATCTGATTGTTCCAATCATTAAAATCCTGTTGTTAATTTCCAGGCACAGTTCATTCATACCCAGCCTACACTCTTTGTGCTTGTGCCAACCACATCTTTCAGGCTAAATAGTTAAAAAAAACCCCAAAACAGTGCAGAAGCCAGAATTGGAAATCGGGGTTATCTCTGTGCTGTGTGGAGCTGTCCTAGACTAGTTCGTGCCTTTCTAATAGAGCTGGACAGAGTTCACCCTATTCCAGCACCTAATTATTTAATAGCTGTTGAAGCCATCTCATCCTTGCTGCTGTGCAGGGATGTATATTACCCACCATTACTAATGAATCACGTTAGCTGATACATTTTCCCCCCTACACACTCATTTTCTTGACTCAAATTGTGTAAGTAATTGCACTTTGAATACATTAAATGAATGGAAACTGGTATAATTACGCTATGCTATCAAGAAACCTGCTTTTTCCCTGTCAGCACTGCTGGGGGCAGAGCACAGCCCCTGTCACAGTCCAGAGCTGTGTCTGAAGAAGCAGAGGACCAGCCGGCAGAAAACAGAGAGGCAGGAGATCTTGGAAGCTCTGGACCACCTCCTGCCCATGAGGTGCCCCTTGCTGGCCCAGCCCAGCAGCAGTGGCCTTGCAGAGATTTCTCAGACCTGCCTGCATCCCAGGAAGGAGCCAACGCTGCCCTGCTGCTGGCCACCCCACACCAGGGACGGAGAGAACAAGGTAGGCACATCTGCTGAAGATGGTTAACCTGGCATTAGTAATTGTACTAAGGAGGAAAAGGAGAAGGGAAGGGAGACAGCTTGGAGTTTAATGGGAAGCTGGAGTCTCATCTCCTGCAGCTGGTGAAAAAAGCAGCAGGCAAAATCACATTTCCTAACTGTGCTAGCTGGACACAAGCACACTCACATGGAGGGACCCCGAAGCCCACAGTCTGGTATTGAAAACCAACCCCATGAACATGAACATACATGTTGTCAAGTATCTACTGTGCACTTCTGTTTGGGTAGAGGAGGGAGAGAGGGGTGACTCACAAGTGCTGAACTTCTGAGGAAAGCACAGTTGTAATCCCAGACCCTGAGACTGGGGAGATGGCTCAGGACAGTGCTTGCTTAAGTAGTGCTTACCCTTCATCCTCCTCCACCTTTTGTATTGCCATACAAAGCAGAAGAGAAAAGATTTCCAGGAATAAAATTAGTGTTTCAAGCAAGAGCACTCATTAGTCCCATTACTAATTATTCTACAAAGGGGTGAGATCTTGTGCAGAACAGAAGTGGGAAGGTAAGATACTTTGGAAGACAATGGATGACCCTGTGGTTGACACAGGAAGCTGGTTACTTTGTATGGTGCCATCTTTCCTAGCTCCCCTGCTTCAGGTCAACCACTGTACGTTATAGGACTCCACTTTTCCTTGTGGAAAAAAGCCTGCAAAAATCTGTGTGTGGTGGTTTGGTTACAACAGTGTATACTGCTATCTCCTCTATATCTTATGTTTGTAATGACATAAGGATGTACTTTGCCTGGTACCTAAAAGTAGAAAAGAATCAGAAAGAATCAGTGCTGAAGCTATCTTAAAAAAAAAAAAAAAAAGACCCCCCCACACACAAAAAGAAAAAGAAAACACTAAAAACCTGTGGTTTATTATCATCTGAGACAGTTGTGCACAGATGAAAGCATTGCTTTCCAGTGACTGGGTGCTGGGTGAAGACAGCTCTCTTGGTCATAACATCTTCCAGTGATTCTTGTGTTCCTATTAAAGTCCGTGCAACTACCTGAGAGGTTGTCCTGGTCCCTGTCCTGTCCTGCCTCATGTTGTCTTGCTGCAGCTTCCACTTCAGGCTCTCCTGTGGCAGCTCTGGTTCCTGCAGGCGATGGCAAGCACATGCGAGTAACGCTGCTACTACGGAGCGCACGGGTGTGCTTCCGCATCAGTGTGCACCACAGCTCAGCTCCTCAGCCTTCCTCATTGCAAAACTCGAGAAAACACACCAGGACTATCCCTTGAACTTCACCTGGTTTTACTGAGCTCTCTGCCTGCATCACCCCGCTCCCACGCCGTTGTCACCTCGCTATTGTGACAGACGGGCTCGGGCCGAGCACGGGGCTCTCCCACGGCTCCCCTCCCCGAGCCGGGGCTGCGCTGGCCTCGGGGCGGAGCGGAGCGGGCCCGGCCCACCCGCTTTATAGCGCGGGGCGCTCCACGACAGCACTAGAGCCGTCCGTCAGCCCGGCCCGCCGTGGGGCCGCCACAGCCCGCGCGGACCAGGTGAGCGGCTCAGGCCTGTCCCGGGGGAGCGGGAGCGGGAGGGGACGTTCAGCAGCAGCAGCAGCAGCGGCAGCAGCGGCGGGGCCGGCGCAGCGCGGACAGCTCCTCTCACGCTGAACGCGTCGCCGCGGAGGCATCCGGGGGGGGTGCGGCTGCCCGAGGTGCGGAGGGCTCTGCCCGGCGGCTGCCTGTGCCTGGACTGATGTCAGGTAGTAGGGCTGGTCTGCCTGCTTCCTTTCTGTTCTTCCTCTTACCGTCTGTTTTATCTTTTATTTATTTATTTCTTTTTAACCAGTTATTTGTGCCTTGTGCACTCGGGACCGGGGATGTGTCCTTGTGACGCTCAGAATTGCTGATTTTATAGATCACGAGAAAGACAAAGCGTGCCGAGTTGTCTCCCACTAAGAATCGAAAGGTCTAACAGCACTGGTTGCTTACAGAGATACTTCAGAACTCACAAAGTCTGTTCCTGTGGCGTGAACGGTTTGCACCTGTATTTATTAGAGGTGGGGAAAATAGCCTTTATTTCATGTTCTCCCTGCAAGCTGATGTGTACGTGTGTCACTCGTCTTCGTAGAGAAGCCTCTCAGCTTGACTTTTGGATCTGTGCCTCTGAAATTCAGGTTTTAGAGAGAGAATCTGAAGTTCTCTTCTGACACTGTTATTGCTGGAACTGCAGGGCTACCTCTGAGAAATGTTTGCCAACCCTTCTGTGGTGCTAGATTTGGTTTCTCGGAGAGTCTGAGAAAATTGTAAGGCAGCTTTGACGTGAGCCTCCTGATCATTATGTTTTGTGAGGTGGTGAAGGTTTTTTTTTTACTGCTGTTCTTAACCTTGTGACGTTTGGCAACGATATTTGTTTCCTTCCCTTGATTATCAATGGAAGATAGCAAGCCCCATGAATGCAGCTGCAGAGGGCTTGTGCTTTCACAAATGCAGCTTAGTAGCTTGTTAAATCTAGAGAGACTTAACTAACATGTAGTAATGATATTTCTATTTTTTTAAAAGTATGCATATATGAATCCTTTGTATTTTTACAGAAAAAAAAGTGGTGTGTGCCAAAGAAAATGTAAAAAGATGTGACTGTTGTCTGGCAATGGGTTTATTTTCACAAGCTGTGTGAGGGTCTAAAAGGAGAGAAAGCATGTTGCTTGTGAGTGGCTCTTTGCAGGAGCAGAGCTGAGGCTGAAGCTCATCCCACAGCTCTGTGTGCATCGTGACGTGCCTGTTTGTACTGCCTCTGTGTCCTGTGTACCTGCTGCTGGTTACAGCTACTCTCTCTGCTGCTCTGAGCTTGCACTGAGGTTTGCCCATGATGTAAATACTTTCACCAGTAGCATTCACTCCTTCATTTGCATTTTTGTAAGCACAGAAATATTTGCATACAAGTAATCTGAAAGTAGCCACGTAACACTGATATGTCATCTCTTAAGACTATTGCTTTTTGGGTAGTGGTATACTTCTGGTGAATCCAGTCTTTATGTATACTTGAAGAATTAACTACACCATGACTGTAAATGTATCTACTGCTGGTAAAGCCCCTTACAGCAAACTGTTAGACTGTGTTGGTATTACACTACATGAAATGTGGTTCTTTGGATGCAGTGCAGTGTGGGAGGTTATTTCCAGCCAATATGACCAGCAAGCAGTGGACAAGGTTGTACTTGATGCTGAGCCTGGCAGTGGCAGATGTGAAGAAATCCTCCTCCTGCTTCCATTTCACCCTGAGTGGACCATGGCACAGCAGCCGAGTCCTGGTGTTTGTGGCTAGGGTGCCTTCAGGGTGAAAGCGTTACTGATTTCATCTGTCTCAAGTTCCTATCGGGTCATTTGTGGATCACTGCCCATGGGGTTGACTTGGCAGGGTTTTATTGTCACTGCTTGAAACTTTGAAGAAGACTGCTGAGGATCATCATTAGCAAAATGTAACAAGACTGTAGATGCGCAAGTCTGTGTTCATTAATATTCTGGATGTTGGTAGTGAGAGTTGATGGTTAATTTGCGTCTCATCTGGAAGGTTTGTGATGAAGGCTAAGGAGAGGAATTGAATTTGAAAAGTGAGAAGCACATCAACTTCCACCTTGGAGCAGGGAGGGGAGCGAGTCAGTGTCAGTGGAGATCACATCCCTTTGCAGGCATCAGGGCTAGGAAAAGCACTCTGCACAGCATAGGGTGGCAACCTTTAAGGAGGTTCATTCCCTTTTGGGGAATGAAATGACATGTTTGTTTTTTTTTCCCCGCACAACAGGGTTTTTTTGTTTGTTTGTTTTGTTGTTGTTGTTTTTTAAAAAACAAAGCTCAAATCCTGCATTTTGCAACAGTTGATGTGGGGAAGCAAAAAAGACCACTATAGAGGAGTGAGCCATGAGAGTGTTGGTTTGGGTTTGCATAATGTGTCACTCCTGGCATAGTTTAGGTAAAATAACAGGTAGAAGCATTCATCTCACTAACTGCTTTCTCTTTTCTCTTGGGGGAAGGTAGAGGCAGTTGTTCTGCTTTCTTCTATCTCAGTCTAATACTGCCTTTTCCTCACGTCGGAGGCAGCCCCCGGACAGCTGTGATCTTCATTTCCTCTGCCTCCCGTCCTGATCTCTGCTCGCTTCCGCTCCCAGCTGCCTGTCTGGGTGGTCTCTGGGGGCTGCAGGGGGTAACTCCGAGCCTCAGGAAGCGGATGAACCTTGCTGCGCTCTGCTCTCTGCTCTTTCAGTTCTGCGGTGTTGTTCCCCGAGCTGAACTCTGCTAGCGAGGTAGTGCTTTCAGGATTTTTCTTTGTGCCTGTTCTCCTTTTTCCTGACGTGTCTGTGGATGTATGATACAATCCCCGTTATCAGGAAGAGCCCTGAATGAGGCAATGAGTGGTGTCTGTGCTGCTAACAAAACAGTGCTGCCTACATGGCATTGAACTCTCCCTGTTACAGCATTGCCTCCTGCACAGGCTCCCCTTTCTGAGAATAAACAGCTGCTTCTTGGGTTTTGTAAACAGGCACGAGTGAGATCACTTTGGAGGAAGACTTTGCTTTTTTTACCCTTCAGCTGGTTACCAAGAACAAAATACATTAAGGAACAGAAGACGCAGAGACAAGGACTACACTGTCATGAGGCTGCACCTCAAGCACCATCCGCACCTTAGTGGCAGTTGTGGGGTGCATCTGGGAGAGGAACCGAACTGACATTTTCTTTATCTCTGTGTGGTGCAGAAACACACTTGGCATTCATTTCTGTCACATTTGGGGCACTTGGAGTACATTAAGGTGGTGCTTCTGTTGCTTGCTCTCCCCCAGGGAATCTGTGAAATACCATGCGAGTCAAATCACATCTTCTCAGGCTTGGCTGTAGGGCTTAGAGGTAAATGGGGCGTGGGTTCAGCCCTGGGAGCTTGACCTTGTGCTAATGACAGGGCTTCAACAGCCTGGAAACCTCCCTTCCACTTCAGTTAAATCAGGTTTCTTTTGTGTGAATGTGATGCTACAACCTCACTGACTCATCCCAGAGGCTTGCTGGTGCTGTATCTGCTGTTGGTTTGAGGCTGTTGCACAGCTGCTTTTTTTTTCATTGGGTCAGTTTTAAATATAGATAAATAATCAAGTAAACCAAGAAATCCTTTTTAAATAATGATTGAGTGTCTTGGGGGTAATGACACTTGGATCAGGAGGTTGTTGCTTTATTAGTGCAATTTGGAAAGTGAATAGTAGTCTAAAGGAAACGAACACTACCTTTTTGACCATGGTGTGAGTGTTGGGCTCCTTGAGCTAATATAGCACTTGCCTTGAATTATGCATTTCTTCAGGGAGGAGGTGGAGATAAGGTGAAGGTCTGGACAGATGGTTAAACACTAGTGTTTTAAGCAGATGTGAATTTGGTCTTTGGGTCCTTGTTGTTTGTGCAAGGATTGTGTGCAACAGGGCCTGGGAGGGGAACTGGGGGTTGCACTGCAGCCTCCTCTGGAAAGGTGATCAGATAGGAGGGATACAGGCACACAGGAAACAAAATAACCTACAGTTTAATTCCTGGGTGGTTTTCCACTTCCAGCAGCACTGCAGGGAAGGGCTCTGTTACGGGTTTCTGGAAAAAGCAAGTGAGCTGTGTGTGCCAGTGTTGCTCCTTGTGCCCATGGCTCTGTGCCTGATCTGATCACAGACTGCTTTGTGTGGGACAAAGGAAACGGAGAACCTTGACCTGGTAATTTCTCTTGAATATTAACCACACTGGTCCTTTGCCATGCCTCGTGAGCAGTGTATGACTTTGGCAGTTGTGGAGTGCTACGAGCTAAGGCTGATCCTGAGAAGGAAAGTGAAGTATGCATTGGTGCTACCCTGAGTGGGAGCTTGTGAGCTAACACTGTGGGGACTGCTGCAAAGCTGTCGTGGGAAGCCAGGCTGGATGGAGCTGCAGCTGTGAAACTGTGCTGTAGGAGGCTGGAGCAGTGGGTCTCTCTCGTGCTCAGCCGTGTGTGGTGTGTTCCATGTCCCATGGGGGGGATAAGGTGCCTGCTGCAACTGCAGCTTTTGGATGGCCAACAGTAACAAAATACTAATGTTCCTGAGAATTGGGGTGTGAACCTCTGCTACTAAAGGGGAATTTATGTTGTTGATTGTTGGGGTGAGGAGTAAGGAGGTTTTGTAGCCAGCTCAACATCTGATGCTGAATGAATGTTTCATCTTGCTTGGCCAGTTGGGGAGGAATTTTCTTTCTGTGTTAGAACTCGTTTAGTGTTTTGCTTGTTTACATTGCACAGCCAGACAGGTTGACCAAGGCACTCTAGAGATATGGACTGTGTTGTTTTATGAGCTCCTCCTTCTCAGTGTCTGTCATTTGGTGGCTTTGTCTTCATATGATTTCAGAAGGCTGGCCAAAGGCATTTACTTGTTTTCAGTTACTTGATTAAAGTAAACCACAGTCATGACTGCAACTTATTGACAGTTACCTAAGAGGGTAAATGAAGCTGCCAGAAAGCAAAGGGAAATAATTTCCTGTTTACAAAATTTACACCTGTTACCGAG